TAAGTAATGATTCTGGAAGAGATGCACGAAAGCTAATTGTAACCAATTGACACACTTTCTATAAGATGTAATGTAAGATTATCATTTTTGCGTGTTGTTTGTTTAGTAAAAATAAAAAAATATTTATTAAAAAAAAGAAAATGTGAGAAAGAGTTTAGAAGGTTATTCAGCTGGAGGTTCTCTGCCATATAGTATGTAAATTGCACAAAAGCAGCTTTGGCTACACTCATATTTCCACAAATGGTCAGCTGAAAGTTCACATCATAGTCATGCAATTCCACATATTAAAACTTACATGAGAGTATCCCTGGATTTCCAGAAGACTGCATGGTTTCCAGTGACAAGTGCCAATCTTTCCAAGGCTGCTTGAGGAACTTTTGAGAAAAATGGCACCCAGCTGAGGATCCTATCATATGAACTAGGAGTTCTGTTCCTGCCTTCAGATTTTGGCTTGAATACAGGGTATTTCCAAGTAAAGGAAAACATGTTTGCTAATATATCAGTATTGTCATTTCCTGTCCATTATCTGCTCCCTGAAAAGTATGAAAACAAAGACCGCCCATGGATTTGGAATATTCCTTACATCAAAGCTCCTGATACACATGGAATATGAGGGTTCAGAAATGAATAGTTTAAATTAATTCTGAATCTTTATTCAGAATCATTTGAATACCTGTCAGATTTTATGCTTTATATCTGTACATTTTATTATATATCTGTAAATTTGGAAAAAAATGTTTGAATAAAATAAAATAAAAGACAAAAAAGAATACATGAAAAGTATTTCAGACATTAATGATTTTTTTCATTTATTTAAAATTACCAATTTATTAGTCCTCTTTAAGTTACATCCAGATAAAAAGATGTCACATTTTTGCGATTAAATGCACACATTCAAAGGGAAAGTAGAGCAAATAACAATATGTGAAATAAATAGAAGTCTGAAAACACAAGCAAAAATTAATAGCATGTACTATCCTCTTTCATTCTTCTACATATACATGCTCACTGCTTGTTACGGTACTGAACTGAATGATCCACGGTGTGTGTGTGTGTGTGTGTGTGTGTGTGTGTGTATGCATGTACACACAAACACCATAGTTCACATAGTTCATCTAATACAGTGGTTTTTTAATTAAAAGTCTTACAGAACTTACACACACACACACACACACACAAATTATGTGGAAACTAATGCAAATAGAAACAAACAGAAACTGATTTTTAAAAAGACAAAAAGTTACATATACCAATTGCTTCCAAATAATTATAAAATATCTGTGATTTATATAATCATTTCTGTGAACTTCCTATATTACCTCCTCAAAAATGAAGAGGCATCCCATGACACTGTCTCCTAGATTGTGGAGTTCCTTTTGTACTCCATTGTGTTTTAAGTCCTCTTCTTCCCCTCTCATTTCTATATGCTGGACTGCTTTAAGCATTATTTGAATGAGACTTGGAATCATAAACCATGCAACAAATTAACAATAAAACTTAAAAACTAGAGACATTTGAAGTGGCTGCAAATGTCATTCCTTTTACTTTAACACTTGCTATTTTGGTTTTTTTTTGTATTACAGATTTAAATTTGGTTTTTAAAGAGGCCTACTATCAACTCATTCAATAATTTTGGCTCCCAAGGAAAGAGATATTTATTTTAGTATTTTTAACATTGAAGCATAGAATAATTCTAAGGGTATTATTTTCATTTTGGATATGTCATAATGATTTTTCCGTGTCTGCAGTAAAAGTTTATTTAAATACTTTTCACTTTATCATCAGTGCAGCTTTGAAAAAAAAATATAGAATATGGTCATGCTACAAAACAACAATTGAGGCATGGAGCACACTTAGCAATGCTTCTCAATATATATCATTTCAAGTTTATTTCATAAGGGAAAAATCCAATCAGTTAGAATTATGACCCCTGAAGTACAATGTTCCCTCCTCACTTCAAAGGCCAAACAAAATGGTCAAAATGCTAAGCTACTGCTATGATGAACACGTCATGAAAAACAAAGACTCCTCATAGAATTCACCACCCATCCTGAAATCTTGCAATTCTGATAGCATGATCAGTAATCCTTGCCAAATGATCCTGTCACCCTGTCAAGGTAGGCTAACTAGAGAATTGATCATTCTTTTTCCCTGTGCAAGGATCACTTTTTTCAGTGCAAAGGAAAAAAAACAGCTTTTCAAAATTTTAGCATGTTACATGTTCAAAACAGTGACCTGATTCATCTATAATACATCTAATACATATTTACATTCTATTTAAAATTTACACTTTATCCAATTAGGCACAAAGTTGATTTGTCAAACTTAACAACTGGAAGAAAAAAGTGTTTGAAGGAGGAGCTTGAAATATATTAAGCCGTTTATCGTAAGCTAGTTTGCTTGGAAAGTTTTCCTCCCATTAGGATTCCAGGGGTTAGAGTTGATGGACCTTTTATCTGCATGCTCGAACCAACCATAGTTGGGAAACTTTGATTCCTTCTAATGCCAGTGTTCAACTGAATGCCTCCAATAGCAGTTGTCACAGCAGGGCAATCCAAAGGCAAATTCTCAGGCAGCAGGCCTCCAGACTTTTGTGATCCAGAGAAAAATAGTCCGTGTTTATCAGTTAATTTAAGAGCTTGTGTTTCCCCTGAATTTATTACCTTGGCAATTCCAAACCTTTTTACTTTGTCCACTAGGTTAAGGTTGGAGACAGACACATCAGTTTGACTCTCACTGTTTCTGATATTTTTTTTGTCCCTTACTTCCTTCAGAATTGAACTAGCTGGTTTGGAAGCCAGGAAATTGTCATAAGGAGGACTGGAACATTTGAACTCAAAAGATGGTGGGGAAGAAGGAGGTGTCTGCATAGGTGAGTTTGGAGGAGTGGAAGGAATGGCAGCCATTCTTGGAGAATATGTGCTCAGAAGAGTGCTCCTGCCCACTCTGTCCCAACCTTGTGGGTTATACACTGCTGCTGATATCCCACGTTCCTTGAGTAGCCATACAAGTCCTAAGGATGTACTCATTGTAGTTGTGGATTCCCGAACATTAGTGAAGGATTCTACCAAACTCAGACGCCGAGGAGTACATGGGGTGGCTACCGGAGTACCTTTCAAATTGCCAACATTGCTACAAGATGGAGTAGGTGCTGCATTAAGGCTAAGGAAAAAGCAAAGCTTAAGTTAATGTCTTTGCAGATATTAATATTAATTAACAGTATAGAAAACCCATTTCTAAAAAACCTCTTCAGTACTTTTATCTAACAATAGCCCTATGACTATGGACTTTTGAGCCCTTATTTATCTCATATTAGTTAAGCAATAACGTCTCAATAGCCATTTTCAGGCCCACTTTGAATTCAATTCACTCTGTTATTAGGTTCTTTGAACTCATTTGGCTAATAGAAAAAGATGAATATAATAAGCAAATCCCAGTTAGAGCAAATAATTAAGTTTAAATTAGTTTCTGCTTTACAATAATCAACTAATGAGGTACATGGAAGCACCACTTACCAGCTAAATAATGCTTAAAGAAAATCTTACAAAAGATAAAATCTATTGTATCAAAAAGGTCTTCATAAATATAAGCTCCATTCAAATAGGCTACATCCATAGTATGATCCTAAAAAGTACAATTTAATCTTTTGTGCACATGATTGAGCACTATTAATATAACAAACAAACTTTAGATTAGAATTACACACGTTTTATCTCAGTGTGGGTGGTAACATACTGTATGAAGAATGGATATACTCCTCTGTAAATAATAATAATAACCACCCAATTTTTATCTTATTCAACTCAAGATATTCTAAATAACATTTTCACTTCCTTCTCCTTTCAACAGCAAATCTGTGAGATGGCTTGGATCAAGAGAAAGTGTGATCACGGGGTAGCAATGTCTGTTAAGAGATTTAATAATTTTTTCTACATTGTTCATTTATTTCATTAACTTATTTAACATATAATTTTATATCTATATCTATATCTATATCTATATCTATATCTAAATGCTTGACTCGGCAAAAATGGAAATCATGAAATAGCAGAAAAGTTAACCAGCATTTTCAAAGCAAAAAAACTCAGTTGCAGCCAGCTTTTTTATTTTTTATTTTCTAATGATGCTTTGGAGTACTTAATAGCTTTAACTATAATGCTGAATTCTGGCAGTTAGATTTGCATTCTGATCTATATCTATCTATCTCTACTATCTATCTCTATCATCTATATATCTATCATCTATTTATTTCATCTTTATATCTATATCTATATCATCTCATATCTTGCACTTTATGTCTCCCTCCCTCCCTCCCCCATCTATCTATCTATCTATCTATCTATCTATCTATCTATCTATCTATCTATCTATCTATCTATCTATCTATCTATCTATTTATCTATCTATATAAAAGGAAAGCCTGAATATAAAGATGAAAAGGACTGAATTGTGTTTTGTTGTCTACAAATTTAAAAAAGAAGTATTTTTAATCCTAGAAGTTACAAGTGCTCAATTTTTTTTAATATGTTATACAACGTTGAGAATGATTTTCTCCACAAATATAATAAAAAGAATGTTCATGTTATGGTGGTAGTCAAACTTGTCATGCTTAGTGGGCATTTGTCTCAAATCAGAACCAATTTCTATACTTCTCAATTTTTTCAAAACAAATTCATGCAGTAAGTCAGATAATGCCAATCAGAAATAAGTTTTATTAAATAATGCAAAACACACAATGCACACTTTAAACTGCATGCAGGTTTTTTTATTTTTTATTATTCCAGTTGCAATAATTTGTTTTCCTTTCTCAACACTCCTGATTTACCGTATTTTTGGAGTATAAGACGCACTTTTTTCCTCAAAAAAGAGGCTGAAAATCTGGGTGCGTCTTATACACTGAATACAGCTTTTGCCTCCCAAAACCCCGCCCCTTCACCAAAATGGCTGTGTAGAGCCTTATAGAGGCTTTCAGAGAGCTCCTGGGGGCTGGGGAGGGCAGAAATGAGCAAAAAATTGGCAGTTTTTTGCCCCCCAGCCCCCAGCAGCACTCTATAAACCTCCATAAGACTATGCACGTAATTTTTTTTAAAAAAAACAGGCCCGTTTTTGTGAAAAACAGGCTGTTTTGGGGAGGTTTGCAGAGTGCAAAACTCCCCCCTCTTTTGGAAAGCTCTTTAACTTATTGACGAGAATTAGATTGATCAATTGTGCCAGCAGAAACAAAGTCTTAGGTGCTGCAAATTGTCAGTGATTTCCTTCTCCAGCACATGAATAAATACACCTGGAAACATCTACCTACCTACCTACCTACCTACCTACTTACCTACCTACTCTCTCTCTCTCCCCCTACCCACCTACTGTATATCTCTCTCTCTCTCTCTCTCTCTCTCTCCCTCCCTCCATCCCTCTATCTACCTACTTTTTTTTCAAAAAATGCCTCTTCAAAACCTTGGTGCGTCTTATACTCTGAAAAATATGGTATTTTTCTTTCAAGTATAAAATAATGAGATTTCTACACCAGTACATTCCAATAACAGTGATGAAAAGAGCAACATGGTCCTTGGAGATTCTCAGTCATCCCGGTCATGGTTGTTCCAAAGGTGCTTTTTCAAAAGGCAACTGGACTTTCTGTGTTGTTCTCTTGAAGATGTTTCATTTCTCATCCAAGAAGCTTCTTTAGTGTTCACATTCAGTCAGAACTGAAGATGCTTCTTGAATGAGAAGCGAAATGTTTTCAAGAGAAAACAATACAGAAAGTCCAGTTGCCTTTTGAAAAAGTGCCTTTGGGAACAGCAATTCTTCTCTGCCACAGTTAAATGTAAACCTTTCTAATATCTTTTTTTTCAATATATTTTTATTGTTTTTACATTTAAAACAATGCAGTACCGTGAAGTCAAAGTGTCTATACATTCACATTATATATAGCTAGTCACAACTATTGACAATTAGCCTACTTGATACATTATCAATCCTTCAGTCCAATCACAGTACATACAGTTTGTTCCAGTCTTGTCACCTTGTCTTATATCAGTCATAAAATCTATTCTTATATCAGTCATAAAATCTATTCT